AAGAAGGTGTTTTGAGCAAAGTTGACTTTTGCAAATTCATGAAAATTTCCCAACTTCTCCAATGCACAACTTGCTCAATTTTGATCATATGATCATGTTCTTGGACATTTTGGAAAGTGCTTGAAGTCCTCTAACCAATGCCTTTGGTCCCATGTCATTTGAATTTACCAATCTCAAGTTATGGCCTTGGACTCAAAGTGCACTTTTGTTGACTTTTGAATTTGACCTATAATGTAAAAATTGGTAACTTCTTGTGAGAGCATTTCTTGAACTTGGAGTGTGAATATGGATTGTAGGAAATTGAATCCTCTTCAAAATGAGCATTGGATGGAATTTTTTTGACAAACCATGAAAAAGTTATGCCCTGGTCAAGATAAAGTTGACTTTTCTGCTGTCCAAAAATAGTAACTTTTTGCATCTTGATGATTTTTGAGCTATTCTTATGGAATCATGATCAAGACTTGATCAAATTATGATTGTGAACTCAAAATAAGATGTTGACCAAAAATTCTGACTTTTGACTGCAAAATGACCATTTTGCCCTTGCAGTTGACTGTGGATCAAATGAGGCTTTTGACTGTGCAAATTGGCACTGTGAGTCTTGAAACTTGGTATGTAGGTGCTTGAGAATGTATATAGGCCTATGAGACTTGATTGAACCATTGAAAACCCCAAATTCCTTGAGAGAACCAAAACCCTAATTTCAGCTGTCTTAGGAGGTGGTTTGACTGTACAACCCTTGAGCCATCTTGAACAATTTGAAGATCATTCTTGACAAATCTTGAGGAATATGGGAGGGAAAATTTTGGGGTACAACAAATATAATTAGAAAATTATTTAAATTTAATTTCTTTTCATAATTAAAATCAAATAGAAACTAGGTTTTTTAATTTTACAATTAAATTTCTTTCCTCAAATAAAAAACCACCAAAAATACGCCAAAATCATTTTTTTTCATTAAAATATTTATTTTAATTAATTAGGAACTTAAATACTTTTCGTTTTTTCATAATTGAAATAATTATAATTAGGATTAGCCGTACATAACTTAATTAGTTCTTTTCTCAAAAAAATAACTTCAATATTTTTCTAGTCAGTTTTTAGGGTTTTCAATTTCTCCTCGCATTTAATTTGGTGCGCACATTTTAATTTGTTTTATTATTATTGTAACTGTTTCGAGTTTGTAATAGTTTTAATTAGGGTTTTAAAATTCTTCACTTTTATTTCCCGTCAAGACAATTATGTAACTGTCAAAGCCTTGTAATAGTTAGGTTTATTTTTCGCATTTTTAATTCCTGCAAATATTTAACTGTCTAGATGTATGTTAATAGGATTGTATGGCAAGAATATCTGAAATTAAAACGATATATCACCTAATGTGAAAAGATCAAATAACTCAAACAAATCATATGCACATATTCACTCCTAGGGTTTACCTCACTTCGGTTGCATTCGGTAAACAATCATTAAGTATAGGAGGTTTTAGTGGTTACCCTCCAGTTTAAAAAGATCAAATTGTCCCATTCGAATGTTGCCTCAGAAATGTTGCCTCGGAGATGTTGCCTCGGAAAGATCTTAAGACTCTAGGGTTACTACTAAAGTTTTCTAACTATTGTTTTAGTGATTGTACTTGTCCCTTTCGAATGTCCCTTACAACTCCAGCAATTGTGCTACCTACTCCTTAATAGTAGGATAGTGTTGTCTAAAGGAAACGAGAACAAACAATATTTTTTCGAGTAGGTGGAATCTTAAGTACTTGCTCAATAAAAACTTTTCACACGAACACCTTTCAAAACAAATTTTCAAAACAAACTTCGTCACATCCTTGAGGACTGATACAAGGGTTATCACGAAGTAAAACATTTTCAAGATAAACACACACAAGCAATTTGAAAAATGAGCAAGTACCTAAGAGCCCGTAGAAAACTACAGATAGAAAGGGTGCTAACACCTTCCCTTTCTATAATCTACCCCCGTACTCAGAATATCTCGAAAAAAGATTTTTTCTGTTCTTTTTCCTTTTCCATGATTGGATGAAATAAAATTCGATGGCGACTCTTGCTTACCGCGACATTTTGCAAACAAAAAATGCAAAACGCAAACCAGCCAAAACAGTCGGTTCTGCCACCGTATCACAATACCCAATTCAAACTTCAATTTAAAACATTTTTTAAATCACGTCAAAAACAATGGTTAGCAGAAGTCATATCCTAGATCAAAGTCGTCTAAAAGCTCGCAATTATTGGAGCTCGAATATGCGATCCATCAATTCATGTTAAGTAAAGATGATAAGTGAGCAACACAAAAATTCTCAATCAACTATTTGAACATAATCAATTAAGTAACATATTTCAAATGAAATCGAAGGTAAAAGCTTACTTAGAAAATTTATCGAACACCTAGTTTGCACTTTAATTTTCCAAAAATTCCTTTGAATTTTGTTGATGTTAAAACCTCTTACAATCAAAGTTTTTATAAGAACAAAAAAAATTGATTTAAACTTTCAAAGAAAACTTCTATCTGAATCAATTTGCACAATCAAAAGTGTAATAAACTGCTAACAAAATGTAAAATAAATAAAGCGAGATAAAGAGAAAGAGAGAGAACGACACAAGGATTTGTTAAGGAATTTCACCAATCTTCCTCACTATGGCTACGTCTCCCCCCAATTTTGTTTTGGAATTGAGACCAATTTCTTACTATTTGCAAAAGTATCTTTACAAGAGAAATGTTGCAATGCACCCATACAACACCAATGGTTGATGATGATCCAACAAAATTCCCTATGGCTTGATGGATTTAGATCTAGCTCCTAACAACTCCAATTGATCCATCATTTCACGCTAATAACTTGAAGTAAAATTGTCTTTAAAGTTCACTCGGTCGAATCCAATTGCAAGCGTGTTATCACCAAAGGTTACTGGATGATTCACCGTTTCATGCTACTAGGATTGCAAGAACCACCCCGTTCTTCAAGGTCTTCGATCATTTGAATCCAATATCGACACATTCTTGTTAAAAACCCTCAAATCTCCACACGATCTTAAGGTAAAAATTCTCGCAGTTTTTCGTGATGAAACCTCCTTGATTCTCAACCCAATCTTAGGTTACAACCAACCTAAATTGAACATTATCAATCGAGTCTAGTTGGCACCCAAACAATGAATGATTATGTGTACGTTGTTTGTGTGTATGCATAAGGTCAAGGTTGAAGATGAAGAGAAATCAAGTAAGTGTTTATAGTTTCATTAAAATGAAAATGATGCAATATATATATATATATATATATATATATATATATATATATATATATATATATATATATATATATATATATATATATATATATATATATATATATATATATATATATATATATATATATATATATATATATATATATATATATATATATATATATATATATATATATATATATATAAGTGTGAGACTTGGAGGCAAAAGAAAGGCCTATGAAAAACTGATTTTTGAAGTTTGGTACAGGATGTGTCGACACGAACAAGTGATGTATCGACACATACGTGATAGAAACAAGAACATGTGTCGACCTTTAACATGCCATGAGTCGGAAAAAACTTCCAGAGGCTTTCAAGCTTAAAAAAATAGAACATGAGTCGACACAAAGCACATATGTGTCGACACATATAGTAGTTTTGAAGATATGTGTCAACAAAAACAAGAGGATAAGTCCACACAAACTTCTAGAGAATTATATGTTTAATAACAAAAGCACATGTGTCGACACGAAGCAGAATGTGTCGAGACATGCATATAAGTTTTGTGCAGAAATTGATTTTTATTTCATGAGACTAATGGATAACCAAACCAAACTTGTTCTATATGCTTCTTAAGGTTCCTATATACTTCTAATTCAAGGATGGACACATATACTCATAGATATTGTTCAATGTATAGAAAAGTTAAACCAATTCCTAGTTTTGACATCATGCAAAACATCTAAAAGAGAAATGCATTCACAGAGGGTAGTGTTTCTACCTAAAATGGGAATAGGTCTGAATTGCATTCTTTCCCCTCTGACAGTGGGGATTTTTAGTCAGGGGTTATCCTTTTGAGTGATGATTCAAAAATGGAAGGCTCGTATAGAGAATATATTTCAGACGAAGCTCTCTCTAAGAATACTCCAAATACTTTGTTTTATGCAAAGTCTGACAGGGGTGAAAACCTTGTCGGGAGACATATGCCTCCTCTTGTCTTGACCAAGGCAGAAATAGATGATTCCCTTCAAAGGAGGGAGCATGATTGTCCCTTTGTCAAAACATACTGGGAGTTAATTAGTTATGACCCTAGTGATGCTAAAATTGCTTTTCATATGGAGTGCTAAGGTAGGAATGATGTCTTGTTATGGGTCAGTCCTGATAACCATCATAAAGCTAGCGTATTGGCCCGTAAGGATATCCTATTAATAGAACCAGCTAATTCTAATATATAACATTGGGTGTCTGCCAAAATAGTTGGGACTCCTTCTATCTTGAACATCGTTGACATTATAACCCAGGCCGAAATCATGGTTGACAATCCCTATGATTATGTGATTTTTCTAGTTGGCCCAGATGAGAGGGTATGCAGCTCGTTTGAGGTTTGTTTGGTTTCTTTGTACGAGTGTCTCTTCATCTGGTTAGGGATACGCATGCCTTTTTCTACTTGAGGTGGCCATGATGAACCATCTAAATGTTGCCTCCTCGCAGCTTCATCCTAAATTTTGGGCTTTCATGACGGTGTTCTAGCTTTGTGATGAGTAAAAGTCTTGGAAACCTTTATTAGGGATATTCTTTGACCTTTTTTATGTATCTCGTACTTCATTGGATGATGCTCCAGATCAAGGATTGATCTCCATTCGTCCTCAAGTACCTTAGTTCAGTTATTTTGCATATGATTGGGGTGATTTCCTATAGCATTTTATATTGGTTAAAATCGTCACTTCTGAGGTACGTCTGGCCTTCTATTTGTATCTGGCTCTGATGGGAAGTGCCCGATCTTGCAGAGGTAGTTTTCGTAAGTACTGGTCCAGAGTTCATTTCCATCAGTCTATTTCTTCTTATCATTATAGGTTACCTCCTCTATCTCCTGAAGAAGTAAAAAAGAAAGAGGATTTATATGCCTGGTATTAGGCGCTTGGATATGAAGAAGGAATTGTTTCTGGAAAAGTACTTTCTTTTCAGCAAAATAAAAGGAGCATAGATACTCACGCGATAATTAGTGTATCTGATCCTCCCGAGATACAAAAACGTTTTGGTAAGGGTGGAGATCCAAGTTCCATTTTTTTAACAATGCAACTTGTGCCTTGCAGAAAACATGAATAATTGGGTCAACTGCGGAAAGCTCTGACGCTTGCTAATGTTCATGGCCTTATAATTGGCTTGCCCATTCAGATGCTAGTGGCACATGTTGTTGCTTCTACTTCTGCTCATGAGGCTCAAATTCCTGCTGTGGTGGTTGCATCGGAGGTAGTCAAAACTACTATCCTGGTCACGACTCTTGAGATAGGTCAGAAAACTACTACGACGACTGATTTTTATGCTTGGGAAATTTCACCTTCTTCTTCCCCTGCCAAGAGAGGTCGGCGTGATAGTCTTTCTACACCCGTTGAAGAAGTTTCTCTCAAATAGGCTTGCTTATCGGAGGGTGGCGAGCAGGAGGTTCTTACTCCTTTCTTCCGACTTCCTACTATTCTTCAATCACTGGTACCTAGCACCCCAGAGGAATTTGTTGCTGCCATGGCTTATGAAGACCTGAATTTTATCGGGGGTTTCTCTTCAACTGACAGGAAGAGCCTTTTTGCATATACTTCTCGTACTTTTTTCAAGGTAGGATCCCTTGTTTCTATTGTATTTGTTGGCTATGATGATGTTCCGAGTTTTGGCGAGCTTTCAAGGGAATGGAATGATCTAAGAGAGAGGTATGAAGCCATTGAGTGGGAAAATTATGATGCTGAGAAGGAAAGGGTGAACTTCAGGTGAATTTTGATGATGTTCACTCTTTATTGGAAGAGGTAGATCAGTATGGTCGACCATCCACTTTGGCTTCTCAGATAAAGAAGTTGAAGGCTTCCCTTGCTGATGGAGAGAAGCATTGTAAGAAGGTTTATAAAGATGCAGCTGAAGCGTGTCTAGTGTTCGAAGCAGATAGAAAAGCTCTTCATCATAGGAAGGATGACCGAGCCAGTTCCTTCAAAGGTCTTGAGGAAGAAGAGGCTTTTACTCGGCAAAAATCTAGGGAATCCCTTGAATGAGTAGTAGAGGTCGTGTGAAGGGTTCAAGATGAAATTTTGGAGCAGGCCCGAGTGTTTTGTTATGGCCTTACAATCATTGTTACCAGCTGGATCCTTTAGAAAATGCTTCTGGAACGGATACAAGAAGTTGTCCTAGATTTGAGGAGTCGGCTGCTGATGTCTAAGAGCCTTTTGGTTCTTTTTCTTTTCTTTATTTGCTCATGTAACTTTTGACAGTGCCTTTGTGCCTCGATTTGTAAACAATATTTTCATATATCTATTTCAATTATTACCTTTAGCATATTTATGCTTTTTGGAATACTATTACTCCTTATTCAACTGTTGTTATTGTTCGATTGGGATCCAATGGGAACTAGGATCCGAGGAGAACTAGGGCTTGCTTTGGAACCTTGCAATTGACATAATTTGTTTTCTATAGAGATTAAACAATGATATTTTCTTAAAGTTTAAATGAACTTTAAGTCTTTTAAGGAGTCGTGTATGGATGTTTTGCTTGGAAGTATCTTACATTAAGACGTACTCATTATCTTGATGGAACATTGAGGCAGTAGTGCATGGCAGTACTCGAAATGTGCTAGCGCAGAGGAAGCATTGATACAATTTGATGTGTCTGTTTGTCAGATAAGAAACCAGTGAAACATGAGCTCGGGTCCAGGGAATTTACGCTCTTAATTTTTACCTGTAAGTATTTATGCCAAATTAGCTATACGATACTATGCCTTAATCACATTTATATGGAAAAGACACGAGGTCTAGTTAATCATGGTCATGTTTCGAAATCATACTTACAAATGAGGGACATGAAACTGGATAGAGGCGACCATGTTTTGAATGACACTCCACGTCATAGAGGATCATAGCAAGCCAATGATAGAGGATCCCATATCCCTGTCCCTGAGGAGAAATCTCAGTTCGAGGTGGACGTCTTTATGCTTCACCACGCTCTCCCTTGGAATGGTTAGATCCAAATGGGGATACACCAACTACACGTGAAAGCATGTGTTTATTTTGTAGGGGTATTTGAATGATGTATTGGGACTTGCACAACATCTCCAATATCACCCCTTGGGGAATTAGTTATTGTAGTCGGGCATACTAAGTATTTCCGACTGCTCCCCCGATTTTTGAAGATGCACGAGGTGCTGTGGGGAATTAATTGTTGTAGTCGGGCGTACTAAGAATTAATGAAAGATCCCATGAATTCTAAGACGCACGAGACGTTGTGGGGAATTGATTGTTGTAGCCGAGCGTACTAAGCGTTTCCAAACGCACCCTTGAACCTTCACGTGGGCAAATTGCTGAGAGGGTGTTGATTGTTGTAGTCAGACATGTAAAGTGTCTCGACAACATCCCTAGACCTTTAAGAGGCATCGACTACATTGGTTGTTCCCTAGTTTGATGTTACGTGCATTCACATTTTGTGCCTTAAAGAGGGGATAAGGCAGAAAGAAGAACAACTAAAGTATAATAGAAATGTGTTTATATATATATATATATATATATATATATATAATATATATATATATATATATATATATATATATATATATATATATATATATATATATTTCATTTCACTATTATATAATTAATTTACAAATACTTTAATTAAATTTTACGGTCGGCCCGCAAGTGCATACTGAGCGCTCGACCCCGAATGTGTGGTTCGGGTGGCTTGAAGGCCAAAAGATCTAGATGGTCGGGCCCTTAGCTTAGGATGTATTTGGAATCTGATGTGCATGTATTACTCTAGTATCTAGGTTGAGATGGACCAATTTGCTTGTGCTCAGATCTACTTTGGAAGGAGCTCATTTGCCTAGATGTTGAGGAAATTCTGACTAGCATTTGTTGAGTGCGGCAGCTCTCTAACGCTCCTCGAACTTCGTGTTAGGTAGAGTATCCTGGGTAGTTACTCTCCTTCATGTTCCATTAGATGCGAGCCACCCTTCTTCCTTACTAACACCTCGAAGAACATTCTAATTTTCATTGGGAACAAAGTCGGGGTGTTGGAGACTTTTCCATCTGATGGAGAGCCATGTGGCCCTTCCTTTCTCCATCGACTGGGCGTCTGTCTTCCTCACTAATTATTCGGAATTGGGACTTGTCATTATAATAATGAGATATCTGGCGTGAGGCTTTTACGATGATAAAACATCTGGTGTTAGCCATGGTGGTAAGCTTACCACCAAATCTCCTGGGAGTAATTTTTCTACGCTCTTACCTGAGTCCGGGATAAACTTTATCTAGGATTTAACGAGACCCACTCGACAGGTGCACTTGGTGGGACGAACCCATAATATTGTCTCGGTTGATGGTGAAATAAGACTCGTCTCACCCCGGATTTGCGAGTCTGAATATGGATATGAAGATGTCCATCGATCGAATTTCCTGAGCGTCTAAGGCTGATGCTCCTAGTTGAGTGGAATATCCCCGAACTCGGACCTCTCCTTCGGGGTGTCTGCTGGTGTTATTTCACAGTGGCTCAAATTCGACGTAATCGCTTGTCCGACGTTAGATTGGAGTTCGGTGGATCCAAATATGAGATTTTGGCTTCTTGAAAATTCATTTCCTCACCCTGTGATGTTTTCAGAGTTCAAATATGAGGATTGAATGTGGAAGTCATAGGAATCGAGCAAGTTTATTCCCATAGACGACGCCATTGTTCCATTGTGGAAACATAAATAGTGATGATTGTAGAAACTATGGTGGAGCAAAGCTTCCAATACACTACGACGTGGCAACATTCGTGGATAAGAGGTTGTGATCACGATGCTCTTTGAACCAGAGGTATTAGTCTTGAAGTGATGTCATTAATTGATGTTTGCCATCTCCAATACGATAGACTTAGGGGGGTACTTGCATGGGTAGCACTCTAACTCCTAAGTCATATTAGGATTCAAGGTAGCTCGTGATGAAAGTAGATATTAGATATTGTGTACCCTGAAAACCCTTTACAAAGGTATTTATATCTCGGGCCTGACGGGGCCGGTTTGATAATGGGCCTCGTGTCATTGAGTATTATTATTTTATAAATCAAATTGAAAGGTTATATGTTTAGTTAGCGGTTAGTGAACCATGCATTCCACATAAGTTATTAAATAAAATCAAATGTATTTTTTACCTCAGTTAGAATCTACAATCATTGTGAAATATTTTTCGCTATTCTGCTTCACTCTAGTTGAAACTTACAACTGTGATCAAATTATGGATGAGAATTTCAACCATCTCCAGTGGGTACTAAAATTCTGGAACTTTAAATAAATGTCAATACTGATGTCCCAACACTAAAACACAATGTCAAGACATATGTTATGACATCATCTGCTGATAGAAAAGACTTTTACAAAAATGTAAATTATGTAGAATTTAAATTACAGAAGGTAAAAGACACATTCAATTATTAACCAAGTTTGATGCAATGTCACATACTCTGGAGCTACCAAGCCAAGAAGAAAATTCACTATGATAGTATTAGTTCAAAGTTAAACCAACCCTAGTTTACAACTTATCGCCTAATCACTACCTTGTGCAACTTATACCTAAAACCCTCTAGATATGAGATCCCCCTCTCACTTTCCATAACCACCTCAGTGATAAAACTTGTCACAAACCCCGTGACAAAAACCAAAGAAACAAATAGAAGATTACACTTCAAATACGACACTCAACTCTTTGCTTAAAAGCTCGTGAGTGAGAACAATACTTAGTTTTTCTTACAAGCCAATGTAACCTCCATGAGTGAGAACACTACTTAGTCTACCTAAATGTATCAGAAGATACATGAGTGACATACAAAGAAAAAACAAAGACTTTAAAAGACTTCAAAACCCTAAACCCCTATATTGCACCCATAATTTTTCTTGTTATGAATGCTTGCTATTTTAGGTTTAACAAGTTCTTATTTATAGACTCTTGTAGTATGGGCTTGGACTCTTCAATTAAATCCAATCTTTTACTTTTCAGCTACAAGAACTTCACATAAAAATAGAACAAATCTTCAAAATTTCCTAAAAAAGTCTCAAAGATCCTTTTTACAAAACCAAATCAAATATGTATTATTCCTAAAATATCCTTGATTAGATGCACCTGTATGAGAACTAAAAATATCCATAATCTTATATTTTTCAATCAAATATTCAAGGAAAATAATAGCAGCACCTGTTGTAGAGTAGGCCAATATGTCAAGACATTTGGCTTAACATCTGTCCTATATACATGACAGCAGAACCTGTCATGACAGTTGGTTAAGATGTTGTGACACTCTTGCTCACATCAGTTAAGAACCATGTTTTAGCAATATTTATGCCAATAAAAAAACCATGGATCTAACAATCTCCTCCTTAAGAAAATTTGGGCTAAAACAACCTTAGCACAATTAAAACTTAAGAAGAGGAATAAAACCACAAAGAACAACACAGGATACATGAGAACCATGTAAACTTTGTACAAACTGCAAACATAAAACTATGTCAGGGAAAAAATGGAGTTACAGAGAGATTCAACCTCACAGACACTTCTTCTTCAAAGCTCCAAAAAAAAAAGATGTCAAAATATGCGGTCTGACATCACATAACATAACTTCGAACAAGTTCATACTCCCCCTGTCACACATAACTAGTACTCCCCCTTAATAGGAAAAACCCATATCACCAGAAAATCCAAATTACCAAACCAATATTAACTATACAAGTTCACACATCAGAGGCACATGTAGAAGAAGATAAATAAGCCTCACAACAGGAATTTTCACATCAGACAAGATGTCAAAACATCATATAAGACATCATGCACACAAACTCCACTAGCAGTAGCAGCAACAATAACAACAACAAACAACAAGCATGAAAACTATCATGCTCCCCCAAAATAGTTGCATTCAGCAAGCAACCACAATAGACTACTCTTCCCTTAGCAGTAGTACAGTCCTATCATCATGTTAATCAAAATGCCAAGACATGTGACATAACATCAGGACAAACAAAATACACTAACACTTTACT